TTTTTTTGTTGCAGTTTGCCTGGGGCCAGATTTGAACCCAGATTTGAACACCCTTGGTATATGGGGCCGGCACCTTATTCACTGAGCCACAGGCGCTGCCCAAGAAATGTTAACTCTTAATAATGATTGTTATTATCAGCAAAGATGCTGTATTTAACTATTTTATAAGCACATAGACATGTGATATTAGAATTCTGTAAGAGCTGATAACCCTAAGTGGAATAGATATAAGGAATTAGGGGCTATGGACCTCAGGTGATAGCCCAGAAAGAAGTCTTACAGTTTGGGGAGTGAAAAAGCCCACAAAATCTGGGAGTCTCTCATGGGTTTCCCTTGGCATTTGCCTTTAGCTAGTCACTTTTTTACATATTGGAGCATTTCCTTTTCTAATGGCATCAGATACTTCCTTTACCAATTAGCAGCTAAGATCATTATCTTTTTATAGGACAGTGGAAATATTTCTGGTGGCAAGATTTGTTAGTACCAAGGTTGTTCTTGCCTTGATGGTTTGTGCTTAAGGGTATAGAAATGAGTACATTGTGCTCTACTCATAGTCATTCCCTAGCATAATAAAGAGTTAAATATCTCAGTGCTGCCTATGGCTCAAGGATAGGGTGTTGGCCCCATATACCAGAGGTGGTGGGTTCAAACCCGGCTCTGGCCAAAAACTGCAAAAAAAAAAAAAAAAAGTTAAATATCTTAAGTGCTCTTTTATCTGATTAAATAATTAAGAACATTTTAAAAGCCTTTAGAAAAGGAAGAAACAAGTCAGATCGAAGAACTTCAATCTGAAGAAACTGCTGTTTCTGATTTCTCTACTGGTGAAAATATTGGACCATTTGCTTTACCAGTTGGGAGAGCAAGGTAATTTTTTCTTCAGTGTAGGGATAGTGGGTAGGATTTAAACTGAGGCGTTCTTATAAACACTGGAGAAAGTATGCATCTAAACCAGATATCACCCTTCCTCCGGCCCTCCCCACCACCCTCAGATATGTACACATAACTCTCCCAGGATAGCTCTTACTTGAATATTCCGTAGGTATTCCAAACAAGTTATCTGTCCTTTCTCCACCTTCTATATCAAGTTATTGTTACTGCTGCTTATTGTTTTCCTTGTCTTATCTGGTTCCCCATACTCTTGTCTTCCTCACGGCTGCCAGAGTCATTTTTATAAATTAAAAGCCTGATCGGTTTGCTTCCCTGCCTAAAAATCTTTTAGTGGTTCTTCATTGCCTTCATGATAAAATCCAGATTCTTTATGAGTGACTCAGAAGAGCCTTCGTTGTCTACCTCCAGTGATCCTTCACCAGGAGTGGCACCATATCTAGTCGGCCTCAGAAATACACGGGATTATTTTTGGTTGTGACAGAGAGTGGAGCTACTAGCATTTATTGGGCCTGAGTTATAGATGGTAAACATCATGGGACTCTCCTGCACACTGAAGAATTTTCCCATCTAAAATGCCAGTAGTGGCTCGGCGCCTGTGGCTCAAATGGCTAAGGCGCCAGCTACATACACCCAAGGTGGTGGACTCGAATCCAGCCCAGGCCCACCAAACAACAATGATGGCTGCAACCAAAAAATAGCCAGGCATTGTGGTGGGCGCCTGTGGTCCCAGCTACTTGGGAGGCAGAGGCAGGAGACTCACTTGAGCCCAGGAGTTGGAGGTTGCTGTGAGCTGTGATGCCACGGCACTCTACCCAAGGGGACAGCTTGAGGCTCTGTCTCAAAAAAAATAAAATAAAATAAAATGCCACTAGTGCCCTTGGTAGAAACTCTGATATCTCTGTCTCTTCAACTTCTCATTCTGCCTCCCCACGGTGTAGGCACATGCAGTTCAATCTGCCCAGCCTTCCCTGCCTCTAAACCCAAAAAGTCCTGTCTTCAAGGAGTTCTGGGGGATATAGTCCTATAAAAAGAGAGAATAACTACTGTAATAATGTTCACAAAATGACTTTTCCTTCATGCTGGTTTTTGTTTTGCTCTGTGGAAGTTTTAAAAATTTAATCAGTCTTTTCATTTGTAGCTTCTTGATTTTAAGTCATATTAGGACTGTTTCCTTTTCTCCTTCATGACTTAAAATTTATTAATTTGCATTGTTTTCTCCAGCCAGTGTTTTGATTCATATGTTTTGAATTTGTTGCTTTCCCTTTCTTCACTTTCTATTTCTTCTTGCATTTCAAACCTTCTGGGATTATGCTATTCCCTTTTAGAAATAAAATTCCTTAGAAATTCCTTTTTTGAACATCTTTTGGTAATAATTCAGTTTTTGTCTCTGAAAAATAAAAATTTAAGCCACACTTATGAATGAATTTTTGGTGACTTTCAAATTTATAAAAAAGTTACAAGAACTTACACCCAGATTCACCAATTGTTTAATTCTGCATATTTGCTTCTCTTTCTTCTTTTCTTCCTCCTTTCTCTCTATATGTATATTGTCATATGTGACTATGTATATTACACAACATGTATTGTTGTAAGTGTATAGTGCACATATGTATACATAGAACGTACACATAACATACACACTAAATGCACAATTTCTAAAAATGAAGTATTAACAGCATATGGGAGACATTGTACTCCTTTACCCCTAAATAATTTATTATGTACCTTCACTGTGTTCTAAGAACAGGTACATTCTCTTATATAACTATAGAACAATGATCAAAATCTGGAAATTTAACATTGTGATAACACCATTATCTATTTCAAAGCCTATGTTCAAATTTCCTGATGTGTCCCTGTGACTAATGACTTTGAGCATCTTTTTATGTGCTTGTTGGCTCCTACTTATTTCTTTTTTTTTTTTTACTTTAAAATGTTAATTAAGAGGGTACAAATGTTTCTGTTACATAGATAGCTCATATAATGCTTAAGTTGGGGTTCTTGATGTGCCCATCACCAGAATAGTGTTCATTGTACCCAGTAGGTAAGTTTTTATCCCACATCTCCCTCTCACCCTCCCCTTTTCTTGGTTTCTCATGTTCTTTAGGCTCTTAACTTATTTCTTTAGCTTAATCTTACATGCTACTTCCGCTCCTGCTCAACACCCAGCTCTGGCCATGTTGAACTCCCTGCTCATAGTAGCTCTAGTCTTGTCACACTGTCACTTTGTGGTTTGTGCATCTTCATCTGCCAGTGTGCCCTTTTCCCACTTCTCTAGGTAAAGTCTATGTATATACACTTCTTGCCACTTAAGTTTAAGATTGTTGTTTCTATGACACCTTTCATATATTTTTAAAAGAAAATGTTTGATTGATTGGCAACCACTGCCTATAATTGATTTTTCTTCCCCTTGTTTTAAAGGCAGTTAATTGGACTTTACACCATGGCTCACAATCCTAATATGACCCATTTGAAGATTAATCTGCCAGTTACTGCCCTTCCCCCCCTTTGGGTAAGGTGTGACAGTTTAGATCCAGAAAATACCTGTTGGCTGGGAGCTGAGCTTATCACAACAAATGACAGCATTACAGGAATTGTCTTATATGTAGTTAGCTGTAAAGGTGAGTGCTCACTCTTTACTTGTATGCATGTGTGTTTATTTATCTGTGTATTTACTGTTTTATGGTTTGTGTTTTTTTTTTTTTTGAGACAGAGCCTCAAGCTATCCCCCTGGGTAGAGTGCCGTAGCATCCCAGCTCACAGCAACCTCCAGCTCCTGGGCTCAAGCGAGTCTCTTGCCTCTGCCTCCCAAGTAGCTGGTACCACAGGCGCCTGCCACAACACCTGGCTACTTTTTTTGGTTGCAGCCATCATTGTTGTTTGGCAGGTCCGGGCTGGATTCGAACCCGTCATCTTAGGTGTATGTGACTGGCGCCTTAGCCACTTGAGCCACAGGCATCAAGCCTGTTTTATGGTTTTTACTAAAAATTATTATGACTATGATTATTATTTTTTTTTGAGACAGAGTCTTACTATGTCGCCCTCAGTAGAGTGCCATGGCCTCACAGCTGCCAGGAATCTCAAATTCTTGGGCTTAAGCAATTCTCTTGCCTCAGTCTCCCAAATAGCTGGGACTATAGGCACCTGCCACAATGTCTGTCTATTTTTTTTGTTATAGTTGTCATTGTTGTTTAGTTGGCCCTGGCCAGATTCGAACCTGCCTGCTTTGGTGTACATGGCTGGTGCCATAACCACTGAGCAAGGGCACCCAGCCTAAAAATTATTATTAAATGGAAGTGCACCCAGTAGAACTTGCACTAATCACCCTGAAACTATAGTGTGTAACTTGCAACATGTAGGAGGTATTCTAGAAATACCAGAAACATATCTCCAGCAGTCTAGATAAGAGTTTACACTTGTTTTGTTTGGGTTTAATTTTATTTGTATTTGTATATTTGGGGGGAAATTTTCATTGCAGGATAAAAAACTGAATATAATGACAGTATAATTTTAGTCTCATAGTAGATGTTTAATTACATTTTTGGTAATGGTATTGGCTTTGGTTCACATTCATTCTTTCATAAACTTTTTGCTTGTACATGATTTAAAATTTAATTTTGGCAGTTGTTAGTACTGAGTTGTGGTACCTTCAGAATTTGAGGGATTGTAATTTTTTAGCTCTCTCTAATATAAGTTTGAGTGGTAGCTTTATATATTTTTCTTTCACGTCCTATAGCTGATAAAAATTATTCTGTGAATCTTGAAAGCCTGAAAACTTCACATAAGAACAGACATCACTTGTCTACCGTAAGTATTTTGCTTCTATTCGTATTTTTTTTTTCATGCTTTGGTTTCTTTTCAGATTGCATATTATTTTTTTCAAATAATTTAAAATTTTTCTCACTTCTAATATGACTAGATATTTTTCTATAGTATGAAAATATTTGTATTTATTTTTATATCTGCTAATAGCCAAAATTAAAATATAAGCCTTCTAAAGCTAATCTTTGTGACCTAAGAATTGTCTGGCCAGGTGTGATGGCTCATGCTTGTAATTTCAGCACTTTGGGAGACCAAGGCAGAAGCATCACTTGAGGCCAGCCTAGGCAACAATAGTGAGACTCCATCTCTTAAAAAACAAAAAAACCTTACTGGATGTGACAGCATACATCTGTAGTCCCAGCTAATTGAGAGGCTGAGGTAGGAGGATTGCTTGAGCCTCCCTGTTCAAGGTTGCACGTTACTGTACACCAGCCTGGGGGACCAATACCCTATCTCTTAAAAAAATAAATAAAAGAAAGAAAAAGAAAAAAGGCAATTATTTTTCCATTTGGCATAAAAATATGGAGTGTGATGCTTTTTCTTCCTCCTTTGGGACAAGGATAATGGCTTCGGCTGTGTGCAAGCAGAAGTAATGGTCTGCTGGGTGCCTCTCTTTTCAGGTAACATCTAGAGGCTATGCCCAGTATGAGCTCTTTAAGTCCACGGCTTTGGATGATACAGTTGTTGCATCACAAACTATGATCACTTTGGATGTTTCCTGGAGTCCTGTTGATGAGATTCTTCAAATCCCTCCACTCTCTTCAACTGCAACTCTGGTAGGAGGGGAACCTATTTTCTCATTGGGCTCATGAGGCCCCTAAATGTTGGTTAACTTGCTTGTTGCTGGTGCTATATGCTTCTAGTCTCAGCAGTCACTCACTGGTGTGAAGCTGACAACTCTGAAAGGCTTGCCTTGCCCTTGAAATCTCACTGGGGCAGCCAGTGGAGATTTTGTCAGGTGATTTAATCTATCAGTTGCCCTTAGCCTTATAATTATGTGACTTAAGAATATTCTGGGCGGTGCCTGTGGCTTAGTAAGTAGGTCACCAGCCCCATATACTGAGGGTGACGAGTTCAAACCCAGCCCAGGTCAAACTGCAACAAAAAATAGCTAGGTGTTGTGGCGGGCACCTGTGGTCCCAGCTACTTGGGGGTCTGAGGCAGGAGAATCACCTAAGCTGGAGGTTGCTGTGAGCTGTGACGTCACAGCACTCTACTGAGGGTGACAAAATGAGACTCTGTCTCTAAAAAAAAGACTATCCTAATGAGGCTCAGTGTCCATAGCACAGTGGTTATGGCGCTGGCCACATACACTGAGGCTGGCGGGTTCAAACCCAGCCTGGGCCAGCTAAGCAACAATGACAACTGTAACAGATAAATAGCTGGGTGTTATGGCCAGCACCTGTGGTCCCAGCTACTCAGGAGGCTGAGGACAAGGGAATCTCTTAAGCCCAAGAGTTTGAGTTTGCTGTGACAGCACAGCACTCTACCCAGGGCAACATAGTGAGACGCTATCTCAAAAAAAAAAAGAATATCCTAATGGGTCTCTTGAGTGATTGCTCAAGTGGAATGATCAAAATGACTAAATGTCTCTGCTATTCTGTTTTTTGTTTGTTTGTTTTTCTGTTTTGTGAACTAAATATTCATTTCCTTACCACAAAATATGCATAACTAAGGGTGTGTTAAGTATATGCAGAAAGCATAGAAGAGTACCTAGCACTCAATAAGTTTTAATTATTTGATACTATCATCTGAAAACAAATAACAAGCTTAATAGTCTCAGTTTAATGAAATGATGAGCTATTCTGGTTTTTGGGGGAAGCAGAGTCTCACTTGGTAACCCAGGCTGGAATGATATAGCTTACTGCAGGCTGGAACTTCTGTGCTCAAGCAATCCTCTTACCTCAGTCTACTGAGTGCTGGCGCTACAGGCATAAACCACTGCACTCAGCCTTTGTCTCTGCTATGATATTTTTTTCTTTTCTTTTCTTTTTTTCTTATTAGCTTTGTCTCTGCTAGTCTTAAAAGAGTGTAGATATTGGCAACATAGGAATCGTTATAATGTTAAGATCTTTCACGCTGTATTTGCATTTCTAGGAATCTGTTTTAAGAAATTAAAATTATTAACAAAAAATTATGTACAAGATGCTCAATGCAATGGTATAGCTATGTTTTCAAAATATTAAAAACCAGTACTTGCTTTGGCAGCACATATGCTAAAATTGGAACAATAGGGAGAAGATTAGCATGACCCCTGTCAAGGATACCATGCAAGTTTGTAAACGGTTCTTATTTAAAAAACAAAACAAAACCTGAATGTTCAATAGGAAATAAAGTAGATTTCTATGACAAAATATCATAGTCTTTTAAAATTATGTTTTTAAATGTTTCAGATAATAGGAGGAAATGCTTATTAATCAAAAAAAGAGAAAAAGTATAAAATGATATATATAGTAGAATTGTAACTATTTTTAAAGCCAGGATAGTGTTAATAGTGGGAGGATTTTTTTTTTTTTTTTTGGTACAACTTTACATTTATAAAACTTAGACCTCTGGCTAGGACTGTTAGAAGGAGTCTAATAAACATAATTTTGGCGGAGGCTTTATTTTTAGTGCGTGATAATGCTATGTTCTCATTGAAAATCTTTAGATATGTTTATTTAAATTCTCCTACCTTGTTCTCTTGGAAATTTCATGGGAAAGGTCAAGAGAGCATGTGAAGAGGGTAGTTGTTTCATGTAGATAGATACTCCTGTTTGTGGTATAGAGAGAAGTTATGGTGGTCTGAATTTAGGTTACTGGATTAGGATGACAAGATCTTTAGTCTCTCTGTTTAAGATGTCCTAATATTCAGCCATAAAAAAAAGTTGGAGACTTTACATCTTTTGTACTTAACCTGGATAGACTTGGGGAACATCCTCCTAATAAAAGTATCACAAAAATGGAAAAACAGGTATCCAATATACTCAATACTAACATGAAACTAACAGATGAACAACTGCACTCCCACATGAGAGAAAAACACAACTGCATCCAGGTAGAGGGGGAGAGAGAAAGAGGAAGGGGGGGTTAATAAAAGGGTATAAGGCACACCTACTGGGTGATGGGCTCAACTACAACTTGGATTCTACCTACCAAATGCAAACAATGTAACTTAATTGTACCCTTATATCAGTCTGAAATTAGAAACAAAAAGATGTTCTGAATGAGGTGTTGACCTAACTTTTCAATTCACTGGTGCTTTATGAAATATATTTTTTAATGTGTGGATGGTTTGAAATGCAAGTAACGGTGACCTTTATGTAAGGAAGATGGGATTACCAATGAAAACTGACAGACTTTGGGAACTTTGTAGAATATTAAAGTGGAATCAGGAGATCCCAGAGGTCCGTTGAATCATCTCCACAGAGAACTGAAATTCCTCCTTGTGAGTATCCTTCTAGAATTCCTGACTTTAATTAAATCTCATGTTTTCAAAAAAATTTTTGCTGGTATGATTTTTACGACATTTTGTGTTCTTCAGAGTTTGTCTTGGATATTATGTGTTCATTAAATGCTCTGACAATTTGGGCAGTTTAATTTTATTTGTATACTAATACAAGTAAAGAGAACATTAGTTAATAGTTGGTTTTACTTATATGATGGATTCCCCTCTTTCCAGCTGATAGTTTATTACAAATGCACAGATTACTAAAGATTAATGAGCATGTATTTCAAAAATGTTATGCAAATTGAATCTTAAGAGGGTACCTTATTTTGATGTAGACATTTCAGATGTCTTAGCCTAGCACTCAAAGCCAGTTATGATCTAGCTACTGTCCTATTTATTTCTTTTTTTGTTGTTGTCTCACTTTGTCACCCTTCTTAGAATGCCATGATGTCATAGCTCATAGCAACCTCAAACTTAGGCTCAAGCAATCCTCTTGCCTTGGCCTACACAGTAGGTAGGACTATAGGCATTTGCCACAATGCCTGGTTATTTTTTAGAGATAGGGTCTCAGTCTTGCTCAGGAACTCTCATGAGCTCAAACAGTCTACTTGCCTCAGCCTTCCAGAGTGTTAGGATTACAGGTGTGAGCCATCATGCCCAGCAGTACTACTTGCTTCTTTTCTGTTCTTTTTTTTTTTGACAGCTTGTTGAGATATAAATTACATCCCATAAAATGCACTCATTTTAATTGAAGAGTTTAATGGTTTTAGGTCTATTTACCGAGTTGTACAAGTATCACTATAATTTAATTTTTTATTTTTTTACTACTTTTCAATGGAAGGGAACTGTAATTAATTTTAAAACATTTTCATCACCCCAAAATGAAACCTTTTACCTGTTAGCACTCACATCCTACACCCATTTGTCCCTGGCAACCACTAATCTACTTTCTATATAGTTCTTTCCTTTTTATTGCCAAATAATAATTCATTGTATGGTTAAATCATATTTCATTTATCCATTCATCAGTCATGAACATTTTAGTTATACTTTTTGGCTGTTTTTTAGTTTAGTTCTACTTTTTGGCTATTATGAATAATTTTTCATGAATATTCATGTACAAGTTTTTGTGTACACACATTTTCACATCTCTTAGGTAGAGTTTCTGGGTCATATATTAACTCTACATTTAACCTTTTGAAGAACTCTATTTTCCAAAGTGATTACATCCTTTTACATTTCTACCAGGAATGCAGGATGATTCTAATTTCTCTACATCCTTTCCAGCACTTGATATTGTGTGGTTTTTGGGTATAGCCATCCTAGTGGGAGTGAAGTGGTGTCTCGTTGTGGTTTTGATTTGCCATCCCTGAGGCTATGATGTTGAGTGTTTGTGTTTTATGTTTGTGTGCTTATTGACTCCTACTTATTTCCTCAGCTTTAGCTTCTTCCATTCTCACTGAACCCTCAACCCTCGCCACATTGAGCTTGCTTCAGTCTTGTCATGCTCTCCTATGTGCATCATGATCTGCCTGGTGTGCACGTCTCCCACCTACCTCTTTGCTGGGTGAACTGTCTGTGACCTCTTCACTGAGGATGATTGCGCAGATTCCCCAGGATGGCTTGTGCTGCTGTAGAATCCCACACACATTTGCCGAAGTATTTATCAGATGCAGTAACTTGTTTACTTATCTGCATCTTCTAGAGTTGAGTGCCAGGTACCCTGTTGCACTTTTACCATCTAGCATTGTACCAAGCATTTTTAATACTTTTTCCTCCTATTATTACACTCTAAAACTGATACTTTTTCTACCCTTCTCATCTTTTATGAAAGCCCTTCTTTCAGGGCTTTCCATCATACTTTGGGGTTTCTATCATGCTTTGGCCTTCATATCTCTGCCCTTCTTTCTCTACATGAGTGAAGAGAGCTTATCTATTCAATAATGCCTTTATAAGCAAACTCCAGCCCCAGGGAGGGGGTGGTTCTTTGGAAAAACATGAAAATAATTTTTGTTGTCATAATGACTGGGTGTACAGGAGTACTTCAGGCATTTCATTTGCTGTGGGCCAAGGATGTTAAACATCCTGCTATGTGTATGACGCTTTCAAATCACAAAGAATAGCCCTGCCCAGATGCCAGTAGGGTCCCTGTTGAAAAATAATGAACGATCAATAGAGTGTCACAGAGGAAGGTCGTAAAACTTGTAACTAAGATGGGTAAAGAGAGTGTCTTCAAAGGAAAAAAAGAGACAGAGGTTTATATGTAGAAGAAAAGAAAAAATCCTATCCATTTATAAAATACAGGTGATTGAACTCAGACTTTGGTTACAGAGATATCTAAGATTCTATCAATTTTTAAGGGAGTTTATAATAGAACAAAGACTTTTGAATTTGACAGACAGACATGCAACTGAATGTATGTGACCAGTTATTTACCAGTTTGTTATCAACTTCAAGCAAAATAACTGAACCAGCTAGCACCATGCCTGGCTTATAGTAGGGCAGCAGCTTCTGGCTGTAATAGTAAATGGTAGTGGTAGAAATACTAGTTCTTACTGAAGTAAAATATAAGATTTCTAGTCTGGGAAACTCAAGGACTGATAGAACTAAAGACAGAAGTGGGGGGTGATTAAAAGAGATGGTCTAGAGAAATATTAAGTTTTATTTTGGACATGCTAAGTTTTAAGAAAACAGCACTGTACCCAATTTGGTGGAAGTTGAAAAGATGGCAACAATGACAACTGCAACAAAAAAATAGCTTGGCGTTGTGGCGGGCACCTATAGTCCTAGCTACTTGGGAGATTGAGGCAAAAGAGTCACTTGAGCCCAAGAGTTTGAGGTTGTTGTGAGCAACCTCACTTTGTCACCCTTGGTAGAGAACTGTGGCATCATAGTGCACAAGAACCTCAAACTCTTGGTCTCAAGTGATTCTCTTACCTCAGCCTCCCAAGTAGTTGGGACTATAGGTATCCGCCACAATGCTCAGCTATTTTTATTTTTATTATTATTATTTTTTTTTTCGAGATTGAGTCTTACTTTGTCACCCCCGCTAGAGTACTGTGGCATCCTAGCTCATAGCAACTTTAAACTCTCTTGGACTCAAGTGATTCTCTTGCCTTGGCTTCCCAAGTAGCTGGGAATACAGTTGCCAGCCATAACCCATGGCTGTTTTTAGAGGCGGGGTGTCACTCTTGCTCAGTCTGGTCTCGAACCTGTGAGCTGTGAGCTTAGGCAGTCTGCCTACCTTGACCTCCCAGAGTGCTAGGATTACAGGTGTGAGCCATTTCAGCCAGCCTTTTGGCTATTTTTAGAGATGGGGGTCAGGGGTCTCACTCTAGCTCAGGCCGGTCTTGAACTCGTGAGCTCAGGCAATCCACCCACTTCGGCCTTTCATAGTGCCGGGATTACAGGCATGAGCTACCATGCCTGGCCTAGATAGAGGAATTCTTTACTTGATCATGTCATTTGACTACAGAAAAATCACAGTGGCTATTATCTCCCATATGGAGTAAAAACTCTTAAGTTTTAAGATTCCTTGACAGTAGTCCCTATTCCTTCTAATCTTTTTTTTTTTTTTTTTTTTTTTTT